TCTGATTGGTCTAATTAAATCCTGACATAGAGCATTGGCATTTTCCCAAGCTAATTGTTTGAGGAGGATATCAGTGCCCTCAGAAGGAGGCATCATTCTATTAATAGCCTCTTCTAACCGGGCTATAACTCCTGATAGGTTTCTTCTGTTCCCTGCTTTATATTAGCCAATGCTCCTCCCTTGGTTCCTGAAGGAGGAATCCGCCTCCATGCTTGAACAGCGTTAGTAGTTATTATTTGCAAAATATCTCGAGGTATTTTAGTCTGAGACTGAGGGGTGGCATATTCTCCTGTGCCCATAAACATAGCCATTGTGGGCTTGGGGCCTCGTTTTTTGATGGAATCTACAATGGTCTCTTTGCATATGTCCTCATATTCAGTTCTCCAGAGAATATAATCTCCAGGAGAGAGTGTGGCCTTTGCAGTCTGTAGCCAGTCATAGGGAGTTAGCCAAGAACTGGCCACCATTTCTACAATCTGCAAGGTAAAAGGTGCAGATGGTCCAGACATTTTTACAGCCTGTTGGAGCTCTTTAAGAGTTTTAAGGGGCAAAGGTTCCCACATAGGTTCCTCATCCCAAACTTCTGTGACCGGGAATATACCAAAGGTAGTATCTCCGGTTCTCCTTGCTTCAGCCATAGCCCCTTGAAATCCCATAGGGACCAAGGGAGGATATTTTCGAGGCTTTAGGACTGGTCTTTTCTCTTTTACCATTGTAATATAGGAGGGAGGAGGGTCAGTATGATCTCTAAAATCATCTTCCCAATCCTTCTTTGCCATCTCATCATCTAAATAGACATCATCATCATCATTCTCAGGAGACGATTCTTTACGTCTGCAGTGTCTTCCCGTTTGTAATGGTTTTAACTCTTCCGGGGTACCTTCCTCGAAAGCCACCTCAGCATATACCGGTTCCTCAGTCTCAGAACCTGTTTCTCGACAAAGGCCCTGAAAAGGGGTGCCTTCAGTCAATATTTCTCTAATATGCAAAAATAAAGGGAAGGCTTGAGGAGGCAGGGTCTTTTCTCCATTTTCCTGTACATATTTTCGCATTTCTCGACCAAGTTTTTTCCATTCTCCTAAGGTCAAGGATCCCTCATTCAAGAACCAAGGGCTTATCTTTTGAATAAACATAGCAAAGTGCTCTAAATCTTTCTTAGAAGTATGAAGTCCTGAATTGAGCAACATTCTATGTAACATGGTTACCAGCATGCTCTCATTTTTAGTCAGCGTATGCCCCATGATTATTTCCTGTTTTTCAAGATTACTCACGCTTAACCGGTCAGCCTTTACCGGCGGGACTGCAGCTCCCTGGTGAGATCCGTTCCTTGACCACTAAAAAGGAAAGAAAAGAAAGATTACCTGTCCTTCAGGTCCCTGTTCG